CTATAATCAATGTAATGAAACAAGTTATATGAATGGTTGAATGTGAAACTGATGTTGCACCCTGTAAACTTTCACTCAATCCACAATAAAAACTTTAAAAAAAAAAAAAGTTGGTTCTTTGAAAAGATTAATAAAATTGACAAATCACTGGAAAATATCAAAAGAAAAGGAGAAGATGCAAATAAGAAAATAATATAGGTGATATCACAAAAGAGCCAATGGAAATAAAAAGGATAATAACAGAACTGACTCCAAGGCACTTAACAACAACAATCAAAGGAAAGTCACGCTTCTATTGCATGTCCTTTGAACCTTATTTCTCATTAAAATCCTTAATTGGTATAAATGCAGGGATTATGTAGGATAAACACTAGACTACTAACTCAATGTCAGCATTTCAAACCCACCAGGCACACCTCAGAAATCTGATACAGAATCGCTACAGATAGGAACTGATTAGACAACACTTAACAACAACAAACTTACCATACCATTAATTATATCAATGTCAAACATATAAAAATCTATCCCAGTTCTGAAATCATAGGATAAGGGTGACTAAGGAAAAGATGAGAGCATTTACGAAGAAACACTAAAACTTATTAGTCCATCGATTTTGAATATTTCTGATGTGAATTTGTAGAAATAATGATATGAGAGTAATAGGTTCCTATTTTTATCATTGGAAAAAATAAAACAAGCATTATCTCAAAATAATAGTAATTTGGCATCCAGATTTATGGTCTCTCATTTAATCCTTAAAGAAGGAATTTGAATCATACATTCCTCTTTCTGAAATATTTGTAACAAATTACTAAAACCCACATCAGTATTCCATGTTCTAAGTTATTCACCATCCCAAGAAATCTCCTCCCTTTTGTATGAGGGCATCTAAAATGAGGGAAAATAACCAGTATATTGTGGAGTCCTGGAGGAGTGCTTGGGGTTAATGCTCTGGACTATAAATTGGTTTGATCTGCAAGGTCAGTGGTTCAAGTTTGCCAAATGCTCCTCAGACACTGTAAATGGTCACTTTGAGTCAGAATTGACTTAAGGACACTTAACAACAACAATCAGTTTATTGTAGAACTATGAAGAAAAAAATAGGAAAATCATTTCAAAATTACGAAGTTGGAAAGACAGTATACTTGAAAAAGGAAAGACACTCCAAAACAAGTCGAATTTTCCTGGTGTTAAAGATAAAATGGTGAATGAAAAACAAAGCTCTCTGGTGCCATGTCATAATTCTTATATTCAACCATTTAAAGTGTATCAGCTCCACATTGGCTCCACAGGTACCTATACTTTGCCCTGACTGTGTCAGAATACAAATTCTTGAAGATGTAGTTATTTTCTGGATTAAGACAAGGTCCCTTTGTGGATGAAGCCTCCCTGCTGTCTCAGGAAGTTTGTGTTCAGCTCCCCCTGCAGTCACAAGCACTGTGTCACTCACAGCACAGAAGTACTCAGCTGAGTCATCCCAATGGGCAGACTGTTTCTTCAGGTTGAAGGAAGATTCACTTTTTTTAAATTCAGCCTCAAAATCTTTGCTGCCTTTAACCCGGGTTTGCCCTGAATAGTCCTTGAGGAGAAGCTGAAGACCTTGGTTGGGGTACTTGACATACCAGAAGCGAGAAGATGCTGCACTATAGGAATAGTTGCACTTCAGCTCCAATGGCAATCCTTCAGTGACAGAGACTTGGACATCAGGCTGGGTCACCGACTGAGCTCTGGCTTCTCCTGAAAAATCAAAGTTATATTAGCATTGCACACTCCACTGTGAAAAGTGTTTCCTACCAGAGTCTGTGAAATTTTACATACTCAGAGCAAAAGTCACCCCAAATACTAAGATGGGCAGCAGAAGCATAGCTACACAGTGGAGACAAACAAATTCTTTTCTGGAAGATCTTCCTTGAGCAGGCACAAAAGTGGCTGCAGAATCTAAGCAATTAAATATAGGACATGTGTGGAAGTTTAAGCTGAACAAGTTCTTTGCTTAGATAAAAATGCTAAAACTACTGAGCCTAGATGAGTTCTAACCACTGATTCTAGTCACTGTGGTTGACAGTAAAGATTATAGTGAAAGTTTTTCATCCAGTTGTAGGAAAGAGAGGCTAGGCCAATGACTGGTCTTCAATAGAAACACAATCTCCAGTTTGTGCAGCATCGCCCTCTAGAGGCCAGACACAGAACCAAAAATTCACAGACTCAATCCAGAGACTGAAGATAATTAGTTTGCTCCTTCTATTTTCTAAGATACTATCTTAAAACTTCCACAAATATTTTTCTTCTTAACTCAAAACTATGATGGCACTTTCCACTGTGGACTTTGTCCTTCTGACAAATACCAGAGGCAGGGTAGGACAGCCGTGGCACAGGAGGCTAACACTCTGAGAAAACATCTCACTCTGTGAGTTTGGCTAGAAGAGGATCTTGAAGAAAGAGGAATGGAGAACAGGATCTCATTTCAGGTCTCAGATTAAACAATATGTAACATGCCCAGCCAAATCTTGAAAGGGCTGTTTTCATTCCTTCCTAGATCTTTGGTCCATAGACCTCTCTCAAAATAAACAAGACATTATTTGCAAGATCTCATGTGAGAAGTTTGTTCAATTTTTGAGTACATATATTAGTTCAACACCTGTTACAGGCCTCTAGGTTGACTTGTCTAGCAGTCTGTAGTACTGCCACAGCTTGTATGCTGCTGTGATACTGGAAGATATGCCACCAGTATTTAAGACAATAGCAGGCTAGCCGATGGTGGAAAAATTGCACTGGTACTTCCAGAAGAAGATTAGGAAGAAGGAGAGGATGACGACTTCTGAATGTTTAGACAATGAAACATTATGAATAACAACAGAACATTGTCAGTTATAGTACCAAAAGATGAAACCATTATGAGAAGTAGCAGAACATGGTCAGAAATAGTGCCATAAGATGAGTCCCTTTGATTGGAAAGCACTCAAAATATGACTGGGAACAATTGTCTCCTGAAAGTAGAGTTGACCATAATTACATAAGTGAAGAAACTTTTTGGAACCTGCCTTGGCTGATAGAGAACAAATCAAAACAAGGAAAAATAGCAAAAAATATACAGAAATAATCAGATTGTGGAATGTAAGAAGCATGAATCTAGAAAAATTTGAAGTTGTCAAAAATGAAAGGAAACACTTAAAAGTTAATATCTTATACATTCGTGAGCTGAAATCTACCAGAACTAGCTATTTTGAATTAAGCATTCATAGATTTACTATGCCAGGAACATCAAATTGAAGAAGAATGGTGCAGCATTCTTCATCAAAAAGAAAATTTCATAATCTGTCTTGAAGTTCAACATTGTCTGTGATAGGATAATATTCACACACTACTAGGAACACCAGTTAATACTACTATTATTCAAATTTATACCAATGACCATGAAATTGAAAAATTCTACCAGTTTGTTCAGTCTGAAATCAATCAAACATGCAATCAGCCTACTCCTGTTTTTTTTCAGAATTTACTTTGTTGTTGTTGCTAATTGCCATCAAGTCGATTCCAACCCATAGCAACCCTGACTAGGGTTTCCGAGGAGCAGCTAGTGAGCTTGAACCACTGACCTTGCATTTCAAACAGCTTTCTGGCACATTAACCCACAGTGTCACACCAGGATTCCCTTAAAATTTACTTTGTTGTTGTTGTTAAGTGTAGGGACTAGTAATTATGAATTTTTTTCCCCTGCATCTTTGAAATGCTTGTCAATCCAGAATGCCAACACAGAAATCTGGAAACAATCTCTTTAGAAATCGTCAAGAAAGCTTATATTCCTACATATTCCTGGAAAGCAAGAACATAATTAGATGTCCTAGATAAGTAGAAATTTTATCTTAAAAAAAAAAAAAAACTAATGTAAATAGTTGTGTCCATATAGTTACATAAAGGATCCTGTTCTTTTCTGTCTTTGGATTCTCTTTACTTGATTGCCTGAGATGAATCACATACATTCTGGGGTGTTGTTACACTAAGTGCCATCCAGTCAGTTTAGACTCAGAGCGACCCTGTGTAGGATTTCCGAGTAACAGCTGGTGGGTTTGAACTGTGGACTCTCGTGGTTTTCAGTCCAGTGCTCATTTTGTGGAAGAAATAAGGAAGTAAAGAGTTGAACAGAAATCTTCAAAGGT